AGCCAGGATGGTCTCGATCTCCTGACCTCGTGATCTGCCCGTCTCGGCCTCCCAAAGTGCTGGGATTACAGGTTTGAGCCACCGCGCCCGGCCGAGACTTTCATCTTCTACCACCAGCTCACTGTGTTTCTCTCAAGCCCAAACCCAATCCTACTTTTGCTCCTCAGGGGCCGGTTCCGAATGAAGGAAAGGGAAGAGATGTGGCAAAAAATTGAGGAGCTGGCCCGGCTTAATCCCCAGGTGAGGTTTTCCTGCCACTGCCGTGAACCGAGGGGCCAGCCCATCTTGAGCTGGGGGAGAGTTTGTTAGGGGAGGAATATGGGGCACACAGGCCTCCAAGCCTCTGAAGTGGCTCTCACCACTTGTCCATGTCTCCCCTCACTCAGTATCCCATGTTCCGAGCTCCTCCACCACTGCCCCCTGTGTATTCGATGGAGACAGAGACCCCCACAGCTGAGGACATCCAGCTTCTGAAGAGGACTGTGGAGACTGAGGCTGTGCAGGTGGGACGGCAATGTAGCGGGGTGGAGCAGAAATAATAGTTCTGGAAGGGAGAGGAGACGGAAACAGCACAGCCAAAGAATAAGGGGAGGAAACAATAGAATTCACTGGGAATTGGTCACCGTTCCTCTCCTTGTCCCTATTCACACACAGATGCTAAAAGACATCAAGAAGGAGAAAGTGCTGCTGCGGAGGAAGTCGGAGCTGCCCCAGGACGTGTACACCATCAAGGCACTGGAGGCGCACAAGCGGGCGGAAGAGTTTCTAACTGCCAGCCAGGAGGCTCTCTGACCCCTCACATTCCTACCACAGGGCCACAGCCCACTCAGCCCTGGGACACTGCCCCGGCCCTCCACACTCTGCTCCCTACTGGCTGACTTGGGGGAAGGCAGCGCCTCTCTAGCTACTCCAGGGAGGGGGATGCGGGCACTTGAAGCAGGGACACCCACAGAGTGATCCCTCTTCTCCCCAAAAGGTGTTCATGCCTCCCTGTGGCTAGTACAGGCTGAGCACTAAGATGCTTAGTGCTCAGACAACCTGGGGATGCCTGTCCCCTACCTGCTCCTCACCCACAGCTACCTGAGGCTGCTCTGAGAAGTACACACAGGAATACATATGCTCCTCTATTCTTCCCTTCATCCTCATTTGAACGCCAGGTGTCTCCCCTCCTCTCTCTCCCCTGCAGAGGCATGTAGGGAACAGCGGAGATTATTCTCACCAAAGTTATGTCAAGCCCCATTGGCCCCTGGAGTAGCTGGAGGGAAGCCAACCCCCTGCAGCACAAACAGGCCCCCCAGCCGCAGCCGTGTGCTGGCAGATAGGGTTGTATTATTTTTTCTTACCCCATGCCTGACCAAGGGAGGTCAAAAGGAGAAAAGTATAGGCTGTGGACAATAACTGATGAATATAGGGCCCAGATGGACCAAGTGGGGCCGGGGAGGGATGAACAAACACCCTACCCCATGCCCTGTCTTTGGTGAGCAGCAGCCCTGGGGTCACAGACATGGAAGGGACCACCTGGGGCTGACTGCTTTTCTGTGCTGTTGATTCCCAAAACTATAAAGAAGGAAGCAGGGAGCGGTGCCCCAAGCATGGCTCCTGCCAACACCTATTTATTTCCTTGTTTGTGCTATGCTGGGCAGGCCTTCTCTTGTCCCTTGTAGGTACCCTGGAGGGGCCAGGGGCTGAGGAGGGCTGGACCCAGGTTCCAGGGGCGCAGGCAGTGCGGCTTTTGGCTGTGTACATAGGGTGCTTTATTCTCCACAGAGTGATACATGCTAAGGTGGGTTGGGCTTGGGCCGATGTCCCCATATGTACAGAACTGAATAAAGTGGGTCTCTGAGAAGTCTGATGTGCCTTGATGTGGAAAGGGAGATGGGGAAGATGGAAATGGATGTTACAACCAGGGATGTGTTCAGTCCTGTGCTGGTTCTGGCCTGGAATGTAGGAAGATAAGGCAGCTCTCACTGTGGTCACTTCCAAGCAGGGGATGCCTGCCGGGCTTGGAGGGCTTTCTGTACCACATCTTCCCACTGGGCATCCGATATCTCCCGAGCCCAGGCAGGAACCCCTGGCGCAGGCAGGCTTACTCCAGCCATCGTCCTTTTCACCAGCTCTACATGTTCTGAAATCAGAGCCAGAGGCCAGTCAGGTATAGAAATAATGGGACCAGCTCCCCTCCCCAATCCCTGAATCAACCCAGAGCCCTTGGGCTGGTGGGGTCACCAAATCCATCTTGTTACTTCAAGGCAAGCCTGCCCATCCCCAAAGCTAGCAGAAGGGCATTTCACTTGGACTCTGAAGTCTACAAAATCTTAGTTTACAAACTATCTTTTTAGGATAGGGTCTTCCTCTTAAACTTCCTTCTATTGACTCATGCCAGTTCATTTCCTTAGTAATTATTCCAGAATGAAAGAATGATCTTTTACCTGGGTCCATGGGAATAGAGCTGTGGTTGTTCAACGCTGTAGCTCCCTCCTCATCTTCATCTTCACTCTCTAATGGTGGGTCTGGCAAATGAAGCCCCAGGGCCTGCAGAGCCAGAGAAGACTGTTTGGGTCCAGGCTTTCAGGGAGCCCAGCTTCACCTGTTGAGGAACCATCCCTCCTCCACCCTACCTGGATTCGATCCTGGATGTCAGCAACTACATCTCCATCCCCCACTGGTGCCAGTTCCACCTCCTCTTGTTCAGGATCTTGGTTCAGGGGCTGGTAGGAGTAGCCAGCTGGGCCCGACCCCGTTTCCTCCTGCTCTTCCTCAGGCTCCTCACTGCTCCAATCCCCAGTGCCTTCTGAAGGGCCCTGATGTGGTCCCAGTTCCTCAGTCTGATTGGGGAAGATACGCTCAGGGCCCATGGTGTCTCCCCCTAGAACTACTGTTGCCATCCGGGCAGGGGCTGCAAGAACAGGGAGGCGGTAGGACAGGGATTGGATGAAACCAGGCCCATGTTCATCCTCTCATCATCTCTTTGTGGTCTCCTGTGTGCAAAATAACCAGCTCCTCCCCGAGGCTCCTGCATCCTCCACCCCTCCGCCCCGCTTCCAGCCTCTCGTTCCTCCCCCTTAGTCGGGGCTCTTATCTTGAACCAGGCCCCATCCGCCTTGCTCCGCCACTTCCTAATTAAACGCCCAACCGGAGGCCCTGCCACCTCCTAAAAGACACCCCTTCCAGAATCCCGGCTCCCCCGCCACGCCTCCCCCGCGACTTGGGAACTCTGGGTCATCAGAGTCCCCTAAACAGGGCGTACCCGCCCCCTTCTCCCCTCTCCTAGAAGTCCCCCTCTGTACCGCCTGACAGATGCCCTTCAGGCCCCATGGGCTCCCCTCAAATGGCCCCAGCTGCGGCGTCCCCCACCCGCCCCCATCCGAATCCCGTAGCCGGTGTTTCCGCGCGCCTCACCCGCTCAGAGCCCGCGGCCTCCACTTCCGGCGGGGCAGGACGTGCAGAGGTGCCTAGTCCTCCAGCCCCGCCCCATGCCTATGATTGACACTGGCGAAGACGAGGAGTCCCCCCCCAGCCCCGCCTCCGTCATGCCCAGCCCAGAAAACAAAGGACTGCATTACCCAGTGGCCTCCTCGGTCTTGACATATATTTGCACATGCGCAGAATCTCTCCTGCGCCCCTGCCCACTCCTCAGCCCTCTCGTCTCTCAGGAAACGTGTGGACTACAAGTCCCGGAATGCCTCGGGGACTTAGCTACGACTGCACGTGCGCGCACAGCTGCCCGCCGGAAGAATCGAGCTTGGCTGTGTTTATCTCGTTGGGGACTAAGGCGTCGGTTGGCGCGCAACGGGTTCTAGGCTGCAGGCAGCGCGAGGACCCGCGGCCCCGCCCCGGCTCGGCCTGGCAGGTAGCCTGGGATGGGTGGAAGGGCAAGGAAGAATTAGGGGGCTGAGGACGCGCTGTCTAGAGCTGGAGTGGCGGGGGAGGGGCCTGAGAGTGATGAGGTGGGGGTGGGGAGGGAGCTAGGGGGATGATGGGAAAGGAGAGTGTTAATGGGGAAAGCGGATCTAGGGGAGGATGGCCAGGAGATGGGTAGGAGAGACCTGGTGTCTGGAGGAAGCAATGAAGGAAATGGGAAGGAAGACTGGGCTATGAAAACAGGGAAGCTGAGCATAGTGGAAGGGGAGGGGTGACTGGCTTGGTGGGCTAGAGGAGGCCAGAATGTCTGGAAGAAGACAGGGATAGAGTCATATGCAGGGAGGGATATCCGTGGTCAGGGCATGTTAATTTTTCTTTCCTTAGTGGAGGTGGGAAAATGGAGGGCTGTTGGGTGGAGCTTGGAATGGTAGGAGAAGGAAAAATGAGAAAACTGCAAAGCTCTCACGAGATCGAGAAGGGCGAGAAATGGGGAATAAAAAATGCAAGAGACCAGGCGGGTAGATACATTAAGGGAATAGAAGAAGCTTGAAAATGCTTGGTGGTGATGGAGGATTGGGGAGACCCAGGGATAAGAGGAGCCCCTGAGAGCCTGGGGGCTTGTTCTCCTTGAATTTGAGTTGTTCTTATGGCAGAGAAACTAAAAATTTTTTCTCCACCTTTGGCTGGAATTGCTTATCTCCTCTCCTGTGCATATTTTACTTTACCTTGACATATCTGAAGGGAAGAATAGAGGATATAAGGAAGGATGGAAGACTTCCATTCTTAAGCCCATCGACCTCCTAACAATTTCCACAAGCCCAGACCCAAGATATTTTGGAGACCGGGAGTAATGAAGTGAGAGTAGCTTCCTGCTGGGGCTATTTCAGGATGGGCCCCATGGCTATTTAAAGCTTGGGGTGTGGAGTTGGGGGAGGTTGGGTGGGTGGGACTAGCAAGCCAGCTGAAAGCCATGTCTCTTTCCTGCAAGGGGCCTCCCTTATTAGAGCTGTTTTTGTGCCTGAGGTTTTGCCTGGCCCTGTGCTCTGCCAGGGCTTCTTAAACAGGGAGCAGATGATGATCCACCCAAACTCAGGAGATGCCTGCCAGCAAAAGCATTGTCACTTGCAAGGATTTGCCTGAAAAAAACCTCAGATGTACCCAGGTGTACCTGCCACTAGGTTGACTGGTTGTGTTTAAGAGACCGTGACCGGCTGGGTGCGGTGGCTCACGCCTGTAATCCCAGCAGTTTGGAAGACCAAGGCGGGTGGATCACCTGAGGTCAGGAGTTTGAGACCAGCCTGGCCAACATGATGAAACCCTGTCTCTACTAAAAATACAAAAATTAGCCGGGTGTGGTGGCAGTCACCTGTAATCCCAGCTACTCAGGAGACTGAGGCAGAAGAATCCCTTGAACTCGGGAGGTGGAGGTTGCAGTGAGTCAAGATTGCGCCATTGCACTCCAGCCTGGGGACAAGAGTGATACTTCATCTCAAAAAAAAAAAAAAGACCATGACCTCTCATGCTTGATCTTTCTCTTGTCCTGCCCAAGGGCATTTTTTGCCTCCCTTCCCTTTTTTCTTTCTTTTTTTTTTTTTTTGAGACAGAATCTCGCTCTGTCGCCAGGCTGGAGTGCAGTGGTGCGATCTGGGCTCACTCCAACCTTCGCCTCCTAAGTTCAAGCAATTCTGCCTCAGCCTCCTGAGTAGCTGGGACTACAGGCGCACGCCACCATGCCCAACTAATTTTTGTATTTTTAGTAGAGCCAGGTTTCACCATGTTGGCCAGGATGGTCTCCATCTCTTGACCTCGTGATCCACCTGCCTCGGCCTCTCAAGGTGCTGGGATTACAGGCGTGAGCCACCATGCCCAGCCCCTTCCCCTTTCCATTGCACACTCCCACCTCTATCCGCCTTTCAGGAGCCCAAGTTGTGGAAGACCTTGTTCCCTCTTTTCTACTGGAAATGGCTTGTTCTCTACCACAGTAGCAGGGATGGGGAAGTGGCAGGAGGAGAAAACCCTTCCCTCTATCCCCATCCCCCAAGCCTAAGCATACACATACCTTTCTGGCTTAAGTCCTGGCAGCATACCAGGCACAGCTGTCAAAGGAACTCCTTGTGCCTGTGGGGGGCCCTGGGTGACCCCAATGACAACAACTCAGCTTGACAAGAGCTCCCTGTGAGGGGCTAACCAACCAAGGTAACACGGAGGTCCCTTCCTGGATCAGTCCTGCCCTATCTTGGGTAGGGGGATTGTTCTACTCTAAAAGCCTGAAAGCTTTTCTGCTTTGAGGCACTCATGCCAGCTTTCGATGGACTGTCTGAGGCTGGCTGGGCTATTAATAGCTGTGAGTATTTTGAGATCCCTTTCCCCACCTTAAAGAACACAGATTCTTAGAGAGGTGGCAGTAAGCAGAGCAGAGACAAGAGAATATACCATTTGGGAAGGGGCTTCAAGTTTGTGCCAAGCCAGGGACAGAGTGGAGCCTCCACGAGTAGGTGGTGACCATAATCAGCAGATTCTGAGCTGGCAATCAAGTGGGGGCGGCCCCACCCTTCACTGTTGGAGAACACTGGGCCAGGGCTAGCTCCCTGACCTCGGCAGCTCCCTTGGGGCAGGGCCAGCCACCTGAGCTGTGACTAGTGTCCCTGTGGAGGGGTAGTGTGGGAGGGCCACCAGGGTGACACTTGGAGGCAAAGGCTGGTTCTGGGCAGAGTCACAGTGAGCTGGGCAGAAGCCTTGCCTGAGGATCCTGTGGCCCCAATTTGTGTGCAGGTAGCAGAGGCAGCAGGCCGTGCCGGGGGGGCATGTTGCTATAACCAGTGGTCCAGGGGATGTTACGGTGGACAGTGCACCTGGAGGGCGGGCCCCGCAGGGTGAACCATGCTGCAGTGGCTGTCGGGCATCGGGTATACTCCTTCGGGGGTTACTGCTCTGGTGAAGACTATGAGACGCTGCGTCAGATAGATGTGCACATTTTCAATGCAGGTAAGCCAGTGCTGGGGCTGTCCCTGAGTCCCCACATCAGGGTGGGAAACGGGCTGCTGATGAGGTTTGGCTATGGTCTCTGGGACCAAGGGGATTGGGGACGAACATCTGGTTTGGGAAAGGTGGACAGCCTGGAGGGAAGTTCCCAGGGCTGAGCAGAGCTGTGTCCACAGTGTCCTTGCGTTGGACAAAGCTGCCCCCGGTGAAGTCTGCCATCCGTGGGCAAGCTCCTGTCGTACCCTACATGCGCTATGGACACTCAACCGTCCTCATTGACGACACGGTCCTCCTTTGGGGCGGGCGGAATGACACCGAAGGGGCCTGCAATGTGCTGTATGCCTTTGACGTCAGTGAGTATGGATCTCAGAGAGGCTATGTCCTTCTAGATGTTGCCTCAGTTGCCTGAGAAAGGTTTGGGTTGGGGGTCTTGGGGAGTAGAGTACCCCAGAGCTCAGGAGGGAGTGTTGTAGAGGGTGCTTAGTTGAGCCATTTTCTCATCTCCTTCAGATACTCACAAGTGGTTCACACCCCGAGTGTCAGGGACAGTTCCTGGGGCCCGGGATGGACATTCGGCCTGTGTCCTAGGCAAGATCATGTACATTTTCGGGGGCTACGAGCAGCAGGTAGGTCTGGGAATAAACTAAGAGGTTTAGGGTGGGACTGAGAAAGAGGGGAAGGGCAATTTTGGATGGTGAAATGGGAGGCTTTGGCTTGTTTGCAGGTTTTGAGGGGAGGGATGGAGGGTCAGAGAGTGACTGTTGGCTCCCTCTTTTCTTCCTCCTTTTCTCTTCCTACTCAGGCGGACTGCTTTTCCAATGACATTCACAAGCTAGATACCAGCACCATGACATGGACTCTTATCTGTACAAAGGTCTGCTCTTTCTTTTTTCTCCCAAATCCCCACCCTCCGTTGAAGAAATGATAGGAAGCTCAGTCAGAGCAGATCCTCTTCCAGCCTTTGTTCTGACCCCTCCACCATCTCTCTGCCTCTGCCCAGGGCAACCCTGCACGCTGGAGGGACTTCCACTCAGCCACAATGCTGGGAAGTCACATGTACGTCTTTGGGGGCCGTGCCGACCGCTTTGGGCCATTCCATTCCAACAATGAGATTTACTGCAACCGCATTCGAGTCTTTGACACCAGAACTGAGGCTTGGCTGGACTGTCCCCCGACTCCAGTGCTGCCTGAGGGGCGCCGGAGCCACTCGGCCTGTGAGTGTTTGTTACTTCCATGTGGAGTTCCCTTCCTGCCCTCTTCACACTCTTGATGTTTTCTCTCTCCTTCCAGTTGGCTACAATGGGGAGCTGTACATCTTTGGTGGCTATAATGCAAGGCTGAACCGGCACTTCCATGACCTCTGGAAGTTTAATCCTGGTAAAGAGCACTGCGTTTAGGGCAGGAACAAGGAGCAATTGAGGTGGGAGGAAAAGGAAACAATCCTGAGGAGGTGAGGGATGGGGGTGGGGAAGATATCTGGACTAGGCAGGTATTGAACTTCCATATAAATTTCTCTTCAGTGTCCTTTACCTGGAAAAAGATTGAACCGAAGGGGAAGGGGCCATGTCCCCGC